TAATCTCTTGTATCCTTTGATGAGAAGATAAGTGTCGATCTGTCCAAACAAACCAGAATCTTTTGTTTCCTCTAGATTGTGATACCGTTCTTCAGTCTCTTAATCAAAGATATTTATTTCCTCAATGAGGGCTGTGCCAACCGCCTTCCAAATGGCCATGTCAATTTCGAGGTGAGTATCGTAAAGTAGGACGCGGAAATCTGAGCACAGGGAGGGGGCGGATGCTCCTGCCCTGCAGCCCAGGCGGCCAAAGCCCATTGTGCAGCTGGAGGACAAATTGTCTCTTTCCCTACTATTTTGTAAGAAAGTAACAACACCGAGTAGAATAGAGTAGCTGCACCATTATTATTACGATTATTATTATCCTTCTTGTTATTTTCTGAGGGAGCTTGAGTAAGTTTTCACCTATATCCAGCAAATAGAGTTTTTTATTAAGTATATAATTCAGAAGATTAAAAACCAGAAGGAAGCGTTTTTTAAATTATCTCTTCCAAGCCCGTAATTTTCGGTGACTGCCTTTAAATTCTTTTCTTCTCTTCTTTTCCAGAAATTCTGGGAACTGGCCAAACAAGTGAGTGAATTTATGACGTGGAAGCAGGTGGAGTGTCCGTTCGAGAGGGACCGGAAGATCTTGCAGTACCTGCTCACCGTGCCAGTCTTCAGTGAAGACGGTGAGCCCGCGCGGTCGGCGCTGCCCGCGCGCCCGAATCCTGTGTGCAGGAAATTAGCGCAGAAATACGTGCGCTTGGTTCCTCGTATAACACGAGGTCTCTCCTCTGATCTGTTCCATCTTAAGAGTTTTCCTGTTTCACAGAAGACCTTATGATTTATCCCTAAAGTATTTGCACTTAATATCCACCCATAAACAGTATGTTTCTGTGTTTAAACATTCTTGATGATGCCAGATCTTGCAGATCTTTAGGGACAAATGGAGTTATTGAAGGATTTTTTTTCTTTTTACCCATTTGAGCTTCCATCAATGGAGAGAAAGGTGTTTTGTGGTATGTTGATAGTCAAGATAATTTGGGGAAAAAGAGACCCAGAACAGTAAATTGTTACCCGCTGCTGTTCAGAAAAAGTAGTAGAAAGTCTTGACCTGTTAAAACCTTTGGGAATTTTGGGTTGGAAAGTTGTTCAATTCCTTCCGGAAAAAACTCACCGGAAGAGAGTTAGAGTTCATAAAAGATTTGGGGATTTATCTTACTGATTTGTTACATCTTAATATAATAGGACTCGGTCGCACCTGTTAACTAACAATTTCTCATAGTAGATGGATACTGTTTCCAATAATGACTGAAGAACATTTTAAATTAATAGTACCTATTCCAGAACGGGGCTTGATTGTTTTAAATCTCTACAAATGGGATTAATAACAAACTTTTAAATTTTTGGATGAAGAGTCTTTCTGATTTAAACTACCTACTAAGTGTTTTTTAAAAACCGAGGCTACCAGGAAAGAACCCTCGCCCCTTTCTTTGTAAAGAACAGAAATCCGAGTGTGTGACTGCAGCATTTGGCTTGCGTTTTGTAAGCTCTTTGGCCTCCTAAATTGTTAGTGAATTAAATGCCTTTCTGGCCTAGAGGCCGTGGGGTTTTTGTTGGGATGGTCAATCAGAGGCAAAGCGATATTCTGTGTTTCTCGTGAAGCTTCTTGGTCATGATTTGGTATTTTAAAGGGTGTGTTTTGCTATAGAGTTTGCCTTGAGTCGAACCAGGGATGGGAGTAGATAATGTATAAGAAGGCTTCAACATTCATGCACTTTCTTTTGGTTGATTGTAGCTCTCTACTTGGCTTCTTATGAGAGCGAAGGACCCGAAAATCACATAGAGAAAGACAGATGGAAGTCTTTACGGTGAGTGTCATTGCTGCCGCTTGCTGTGCAAGTCTAGAGCAAATGCTGGTTTACTTGAAGAAAGCCACATGCTTTCCACGGGACGTCACTGCCTTCCTGTCCTAAGTCGTCTGCACTTCATTTCCTTTTAACTGAATCTTTGTGGCTTAGAATTTTCATGACTATTATTCAGTTTTATTACCTTTTTTTGATATGGACAGATATACAATGACTCTTTTCTTTTTTGCAACTGAAATGACCCCATAGTATGGTTTAAGAAAAAAAGAAATTGACTAATTTTCTTTGTCTAAAATTCAGATCAAAGTTCAGACTTTATTTCTGAGTCGTTCTAATATCAGAAGTTTGTTTGACCTGAGATAAGGACCAGTTGGCTTGGTAAAGTTGGGTTTGTCACTTACCAACGAGATCTCAAAGCCCCTCTTTAGTTTGAGAGAGAGTTGGGACTTTAAACATAATCTGGAGTTTTTTCCAAATTTAAAAATTTTGCTATTGGTATTTTTCAAACAAAACTAGGATAGGGTTAAATTTGTATTTTAAACATTTGAGTTGCTTTAATAGGCAAAAGTGCATAGAATATAGTATGATATAATCAAGATTGCTATCATTTCTACTAGGAAACTCTGGGGCTGTAT